TTTTTTTTTTTACTTTTTTTCTTTCTTTCATTTCTCTTTTCTACTCTTTTCCTGTGTTTTTCTTTTTCTTTCTTTCTTTTTTTCCTTGTTCTGTTCTTTTCATCATTGTCTTTGAAGAAATATGTAGCGCTTTGCAAATATTCCATAAAATTACCAGTATCTCCATATGTACCATACATATCGATATTTAGAAATCGGTGACTTTTACAGAATCTTTTGCAAAACGTTGTATAGAAAAAACATTGCGAAATTACATATTATTAAAAAACAAAACACACCACCTAATGAACTTTTGTTTTGGTTTGTTTTCGTAATGTATTTATCGCGATGACCATCATGTTATKGAATGATTGTTTTTCTTAACTATGGATTGTTTTTTCAATATCATAGAGTACAAGCTCAGACCATTGACTTATTTATTGTGTGATGGCTCTTAAAAGAGCCGTTGTTTTAACGAGGGTTCTTGCTAACGTCCTCCTAGCCTCCGAAGCCATACAGCGTTCGGCCTTGCCTCTTCAGTGCGTATACTACGTCCATGGCCGTGACAGTCTTTCTCTTGGCGTGCTCGGTGTACGTTACAGCATCGCGGATGACATTCTCCAGGAACACCTTCAGTACGCCTCGCGGGTTTCTTCGTAGATCAAGCCTGAGATTCTCTTGACTCCTCCACGCCGTGCTAGTCGTCTAATGGCCGGTTTGGTTATTCCTTGAATGTTGTCGCGAAGGATCTTTCGATGTCTCTTAGCGCCTTCCTTCCCCAGTCCTTTGCCGCCTTTGCCTCTTCCTTACATGATGGATTAACAAACTTTACTGGAACTCTTACAAAACTCTTTCTCTACAGAGATGCTATACAGTCCGATAATGAGGWCAGCTCGTGATAGCTTGCCACTTAAATGCAAGCTTTGCGAACCTAAAAGGAATCGCTCTCACGCTTTGCATCCTGCCCACGCACGCCGTGGTCCCTATTGTCTTCCTGCGCGTCCTTTTCTTCCTCCAACGCGTCGCCGCTGTCGCGGTACCCGACAACTCGTGCCGATAATTACATGAAGGACGCTATAAAACCAGCACGGCTAAACACTAGAGCGTCATACAACGCTAGATTCATCTGAAAACCTGAACGTATAATCAACCAAGTGTCTTCTGATCATGGCTCGTACTAAATCCACCGGAGGCAAAGCGCCAAGAAAGCAGCTGGCCACCAAAGCAGCAAGGAAAAGTGCTCCAGCTACCGGAGGTGTCAAGAAGCCCCATCGCTACCGTCCCGGCACTGTCGCTCTTCGAGAGATTCGTCGCTACCAAAAGTCTACCGAGTTGCTGATCAGAAAGCTTCCCTTCCAGCGGCTTGTAAGAGAAATAGCACAAGATTTCAAGACGGACCTCCGATTTCAAAGCTCAGCGGTCATGGCACTGCAAGAAGCAAGCGAGGCCTACCTAGTGGGGCTCTTCGAGGACACAAATCTATGCGCCATCCACGCCAAGCGAGTCACCATCATGCCCAAGGACATCCAGCTGGCAAGMCGAATCAGAGGAGAGAGAGCTTAGAAKKKACWWGCAAACAGCTTGCAAAACTATAACAACGGCTTTTTTAAAAGCCACAACACGACCTAAAATTAAGGCCTATCACAAATGCTACATCCATTCAATAAACTCATGCAAACCAGAAATTTCTACGTAAGTAATGTATACAGAACGAGAGAGCGTGTTGTATCGGGTGATACAACACGCTCTCGAGTTCTGTTTACGGCTTKTCAAACTTTATAATTCTCATTTTAATMTTTTTGAAAAATTGAATATCTTGCTGCATTTCATCGATTAAAATTATCAGAGTATGTCGCCGTTATTAAATATTCGTCAAATATAACTGTTTGTATGGCGCCATTGTTTCATGAAACGACTGAACTATCAAGGGAATTTCTAAATGATTAATTGAAAGTGGAATTGTCACATTAGAACTTTTTATACTTACTCCTGAAAATTGTTTATTTTCCTATTGTTTTTTAAAGAATGTGCTTGCCAAACTATGGAAAATTAGAATTGACAAAAGAATTGCAAGATATTAGGCATTCATAAGAGTTAGCAAAAATTAAATCAGTTGGCTTTCATTTCTCCCTCGAAGACATGTCGAGTCGATTTAGGAGACCTAAAACTCAACATAAAGGAAAGCGCTATTGTTTGGTTGAGTGTTCCACAAAGTATTCAACAAAATGGTCCGCAACCTTATTTTGCGGCCGGCAAAAAGACCGTGAACAAGAAAGCCATTTATGTGATCACCAGTTTCAGTTTCAAAAACAGCGAGTCATTCCAGGATATGCTGTCGCTGGTGGTCTTGATGAGATGAACGCCGAGTCGTTTATTTTTTGGATGGTCAAATTCATACAAGACGAGGCGCCAAGAAAAACAAAGAAGCTTATCCGACGTTCGAGTAAATCGCGAGGAAACGAAACGGCATAGCTACAAAATTGACTTTTCAGTGTGTTTTAATTGTGTTTGATTACACGCTCGAGTTTAGACATTTTGAATATTTCAGGGGAGTGCGGGACTGATTATTACTCAACGTTTTCCTGATACAGACCTAATTAATGATACAGAACTAATGTTTTATTAATTAGGTCTGTATCAGGAAAACGCTGAATGATAATCAGCCCCGCACTCCCCTGAAAATATTCAAAGCCGCCCCCAACTTTGAGCTTGCTGCACCTTTTATCCAATATAAAGGTATAATCACGTGATTAGATTCTCAGTATATCATTGGCTAATGACATTATGAATTATTAATGAGTTTGATAATAGTGACAATAGGATTGTCCAGTTTGTTTATTTGACAATATCTTATGTTATTTTATAGGAAAACGTCTTAGAGAGTTTTCTTCYAGTGCAAGTATCGTGGTATTATAAAGTGTTCTTCTGTGCTTACAAACCCAGGCACATGTTGTCCCATTTGCGACTGTATGAAGATATGGGGTAGCTGTACGAAATGTCAATCAAATTAGACCGTGAAATGGATAAATTCAGAAGATACGATATATTGAATTGGTAGTCAGTGAGCTTGATATGAACACTTCATCCAACTTGTCCCCGTATGAATTGCGTCATGTCATTTATTCATCCAATAAGAATGTTTGTTTGCAAGCCATTAATGCATCCATAGCGTTGGGAGCAATCCTTAAATCTTCAATCGTTAGGTCGTTGAATTCATGGTTGTAGCCTTTATAGGTTACCCATTTCCCGTCTACTTCACCCTTGGTATGATGGCCGTCATACAGCGTTACTCCAGACGGATCCTGAGAAACAAAAACCATCTACATGGAATAATTTCGCAAAATGTCATCAGATATACTCTGAAATATTGTCACACTTTGATCCGTAAGAACCAACTACAAAACAGGGGGATGATACACTCTATAGTCTATATATTGTGCTAAATGAAGTGCAACTACAATCATGGACAAATTATTTAGGGACACCTATGTATTTTAACATAGATTTACACTATGCATCAGAATTCTTTAAATTTCGGCCCCCCCTTACTCCCCCCGTACCCCCACATTCAATGTTGTGAGTCCRCTTACCGGTTGAAATGTCCACACACAACACCTTAACACCTCTTTCAACATTGATCAGGTGGAAGGGGGGGGAAGAAAAGAATATAAAACAAATACCTAGCATAAAAAACGCTCCCGCAGGCATTTGTACCAAGTAAAATGACCATGATTGTAGGCCTTTTGAATGAAACGGTCACATGGTACTAGATCAAGCATACTGGATGACAAATTATTTAGGGACCCCTATGTATTTTAACATAGATTTACACTATGCATCAGAATTCTTTAAATTTCGGCCCCCCTTACTCCCCCCGTACTCCCACATTCAATGTTGTGAGTCCCTTTACCGGTTGAAATGTCCACACACAACACCTTAACACCTCTTTCAACATTGATCAGGGGGAAGGGGGGAAGAAAAGAATATAAAACAAATACCTAGCATAAAAAACGCTCCCGCAGGCATTTGTACCAAGTAAAATGACCATGATTGTAGGCCTTTTGAATACTTTTGAAGCATACTGGATGGCAAAATACCTCCTCGGATGTTCAAKACAAAGAAAAGTCAAGCTTGACGGACTGCGTTTCTTTTGTTTTTATTCTTTTTCCATCCAGTTTTGCGGCTTTAGTACCATTTGACCGTTTCATACAAAAGGCCTATTGAAGGTAAGAATTAAATGTTTTCACGTACCTTGTGTATTTTGGTGACGACACCCTGATGAAATCGCTTTCCGCCAGTATTGTTACCTTCAGTAGCACCATACGATCCTTGTGGAAAGAAAACTACAGAGTCCACTCCTATCTGATCAGATGATGGTACTGCATCTATGGCCAGATCCTATTAAAAAGAAAATCACGACCAAAATGTATTTAGATAAAATAGCGTCAATATCATTATTATGACTGCTCTCTTCCTGAAGGATCATTATCATCCCAATCAATTATGTTTTCGAGCTTACAAATCATACTACAAATGAACGAAGACAAACCTTATATGACTGCTCTCTTCCTGAAGGGTCATTATCATCCCAATTAACGGTGTATTGAAGGGAATCGCCGTCAAAACTAACGATGGTTGCAAAGAAGAACGCCCATCGTTGATGATGACATACCACATGATCACCCAACATTGGCGCAGAGAAGACGTGTTGTCCTTTGGTTGTCAAATGACTTAAGTGTCGAGACATACTTTTCCTGTCAAAATCAAATSAAATAGTTTTATGTCAATAGGATGGAATGCTGGGCTACGACCAGGAATAGTTCACAGTTCTAAACCCAACTATAAGGCTGAATTCGTCATAGTCCAGTCCTGGCRTCCTTTCGACCCGAGCCTTCGCGGGAAGTATATTTTGAATAATTATGTGCAGAACGAGCCACGCAGATAAACAGGTGCACACGCTGTGACCACTACTTCCTAGCCGCTGCAGAATTAACGATTTTTCTTTGTTTAAGGCAGGTACACGCATATTATCCTTAGTTTTTCTTGATTAATATATATTGTGAGTTTTTTAATGCCCTATTGTACCCAGAAAATATAAGAATTAATTCAAATTTTCGCTCAAGTGCTCAATGAAACGTTAAGGATAATTTCAACCTGTGAARCTGGAGCGGAGTGTGAGCGATAAAATTTACACCTAGCCAAAATGCAAATTTKTGACATTGCTCTTTCCCATATTTCTTCCGGTACCCACTAACAGTCCCAAGGTCTCCTAAGATGCTGACAAACATTAGAGTGCACTAGATGTACATAACCTATTGTACTTACTCAATCTTTAGGAGACTATTTTGATATTCCTGTTCRGTTGTGATTTGTTGCATATCTAAAATCTCAACATTTGCTTGGCTTGATAATAGCAGACCAATTACCGTACTACGCCAGTTATCACCAGACCCTACGACCACCGGGATCACCGGCTTTTTCAATGACTGAAAAAAGCCAATATATAAGGAAGTAAATCAAACACAASGAAACTCTTTCAATATCAATGTTTGTTACCGTGAGAGCAAATTGGAACTCAGCTCTACAGTTGTCACTTTTAGCATATTCCTCGCTGACGAACATAATAACAACTTTAGCTTGGTTGATTCCTGTGGCAATTTGTTGGAACTGAAACAAAATAATGAATGGACATATTGTTGACATGAAAGACAAACGGATAGAGATATATAAACAATGACTGTGTTGGAACAGCACGCTGGGTTCCAGCTAGTGTCCCGATCCCGCAGGATCTCCGCATTTACTAGATAGCTAATATTTCGTAACTATCAATATAATGACTCTATCATAGTAAATAGATATGAACTGAGGTAGTCAAGATTGTGAGCCCGTGCAAGAACTAGAAGGCAGACTGATGCAAGCACCACGCCCAACAGTGGTTGTCTATTAAGTCAGCTGATTGACTGCATATCAATATGAAACACTCATGTTTTATTCACCAGTGCTGTATCATATCATCAACAAAACCACCAATTWTGTATAGTGAAGTTAGGCAGCCCAACCTCAGCTTAACAGTTAAAGTGGCCCGTACTTATGATTTCAATTAACCGTAATCAACGYCAAACGCATATTTTAGTTGAAAATTGAGCATTACAACATACTGTAATTTCCAYATGATAGAAATCTTTGCCATATCTACTTCAAATTTATATTCTTAAAATTCTATAAAAAAGATTTACTTTTAAGAAAAACTCTAAAGCTACCAAAACTTTCATTCATGTATTTGTTAAAATTAAAGCAACACACACCAAATGACGTTTCAATTTTCTAGTTTGAAGTTTCGATATCAGTATTTTTGGAGCAAACAGCTTCAGCACAAATTACCTTTGTTGCCAAAACTGCCTCTGATTATCAATAMAAATCCATAAATAACAAGATTTATGCACAACATAAAATAGAGCTATTTAAAAATGCATTGTTGGTCGTTCTGTTGCCGTTCAAATGCAATTAATTTCTTTCATTTCTATATCAAATGCAATTAAGTCTGACGCAGCTCACATGAAGCTATTGTAACAATGCATTGCGGTCTTGGAATGCACTATTCAACGTATTCTGAAATAGCTGGAAAAATAAGAGAGGAAACGCCAGTGACATTCACAATAGAACATGTATAAAAAACGATACTTTCGCAATAAATTCAGTTGAGAGTTCATGTTATTTCGACTTAAAGTGCAACTGAATCCTTCTAGAAAGTCATTTCATTCGAAAGAGAACATGCTGCTAAGCAATTCAACGTATTCTGAAATAGCTGGAAAAATAAGAGAGGAAACGCCAGTGACATTCACAATAGAACATGTATAAAAAACGATACTTTCGCAATAAATTCAGTTGAGAGTTCATGTTATTTCGACTTAAAGTGCAACTGAATCCTTCTAGAAAGTCATTTCATTCGAAAGAGAACATGCTGCTAAGCACTTCTGCAAAGGGAAAAAACGTTCAAATTTATATCTTCTGATTTAGAAATATTTGGAAATCTGAAATGCAAATTAAGTGACGTCTACTAAGGAATGATTTAATATGCAAAATCACGAAAAAAATACATTACTCTTTTTTTTATATTGGAGATGACATTTCGAGTTCTTGAATATCACTGTTATTGATGATTTGACCATTTCAACCGAACACAAGATATCGCAATCAATGAAAAACGTCCAGCACAATTCCTTGATTGACGTCACTTCATTAGCATTTTCAATTTTCAAATGCCTTTTAATCTGCCTTAAATAGAATTCAAACAACTTTTTTCTCCTCAAGACAATAATTAGCATCATATTTTGCCTTTTTTTAAATATTTTCTAAAAGGGTTCAGTTGCACTTTAAACATTTCTGCCTTAGAACAAGAAGTTAGTATATCTGCCACAAAGTTCGTTGTCTTAGTTACGCACCATACTCATTGTCTCATCTGATTGGTTGGTTGTTTCAAGTCTTTCAATGTCAAGCCAGATAGCAAGATCTTTATTTCGAGCGATCAAATCTTCTTTAATCRTCCTGGCATCAGCAAATGGGTTTCCGATAAGTTTAGTAACCTAAAGTTGATTGAAGAAAGAGTCAATAAAATACATAAGCGCGCCTTGTAGGTTTGRAATGTTGCATTTTAAATTTTAAAGATCCACGTAAATCCGAAAACCTTTGCGTCATTTTCTCACAATACGAAGAATCACTATCTTTGATTTTGAAACAATCAGAAAGCAACCGCTTRAACAACAGATATTTTTTTAAACCAAAAGAAACAATCGCAAAGGTTCTTGGATGCAATCTTCTCCTCCTCATCAACCCATTTGCCCATTAGTACCACCATGAAGATTGCATGCAAGCAAAATATGCATAGTCTAGAGTGTGGCCGTGATTCGTGCCAGTAATTTAAATTTATACCTGATTCGCCTGGAGAGCTTTGTTTGAATTACTCCAGCAGTAGCTAATGAAAACATCAGCTTTACCTTTAGGTACATTGGGTACACTACCTACATACAAAACARAACAAAACAGATCACGAGAACATTTAGGACAACAACAACTCCTAGCAACCACTTGACAATATGTCTTGAAATGTCAACAACTACAAGTACCGTCAATTTCGTTGTTTTCATGGGGAATGTTTTTCCTGATGGCTTTTTGTAACTCATTCATCTTTGATTGTAGCACATTTTGGTCTTTGAAGTGAATGTATAGTTCCCCTGCGATGAGAAGACCAACAACGCTCATCATCCATTCAAAAGAACTACCAACAACAACTGGAATGACTGGTTTACGGGCAGTCTTTTTGGCGTACTGAAATTCTTGGCGACATATCTCATCTCTGCAAAAACAGTGACATCGATAAGCAAACTGGTAGTGAAGCTAGTACTGTCAATACAAGCAAAAGTTGTATAAAGAAATAAAAACGCAAAGAAATGAATAAAAAGCTTCAATAAGAAAGCCCAAATGGGTAGTTACTAAMTATGGCAACTGTCAACTATGGCACAAGTTTCCGTTTCTTCTTTTTTTTCGTACGTTACAGTGCATATAATCGAACGAGGCAAACACAAGTACTTTGTTTCTTTTTTCAGCTGTCTCTCAAGCAACATCCCTCCCTTGCAGTAATGATATACTATGATTTGTCTCGATTGAGAAGTGCTGATGAAACTCAATGTAATGATAAAGATTAGCTAAGAGTGGCTGATTATTAAAACTATATTAATTAACTTACTGTGCATATTCATCGCTTAAGAATGCAATAACAACTTTGGACTGGTGAATCAAATCTACTGTTTCTGTGAGATCCCCTGAGTATTCACGCACAGCCAAATTCAAATCAGTGGAAAGCTGTGTCTTTAGTCGTCTTGGATCACAAAACGTTTGTGCCATTGCGTCATCGTAGCTCGGTGGCATTTCGACCTCTTTGTTTTGTAGTGCCTCATAGCTGTTCAGCTTGAAAGAAAATGAAATGTACATTTAGGCCCTGTTTACATGATATAGGGTGCCCCTACGTGGTAGGGCTAACTCCCTTGTTTTTCTTTCCCTGGAGGATTGAAGACAAAAGAGTTTGGCTCTACACCTAGGGGCACCCTATCTCATGTAAACAGGACCTTAGGATGGTCATAATGTGAGAGAGGTGAATAAATGGTTTCTATCCCTTCTACGCAAAGGCAAGATTACCTTTCAAGGGGTTCGATTCCCGGACACGGACCATATGTGAGTTTGAGTTTGTTTGATGTTTTGTTCTCTCCCTTGCCACGAGGGTTTTTCTCCGGGTCCTCCGGTTTTCCTCCCTCAGCAAAAATCAACATGTGAGGAGTGTTGTGTGCTAAAATACTTAATGTAGAGGTAGTGAGTGTGAGAGTACAGGGTCCGCAGTAATTGGCTCACGCTGTTGCGGTGTCCCTGCCCATACTAGGGAAAAGCTAATAAATTAAATTAAATAAATTAAATTAAATTAAATTAAATTAACAAGAAAATGAGATGGAGAGATAAACTAATCTCAACTAAAATACTGAGACAGCAATGGCTTGATTACCTTACAATAAGACAGGAATACGTCACAAGTAGAGATTGGTTTGTTCATATTTAATGCACTACGTGCAGTAGCATCAGCAGACAACAAATCTAACACATTTGGTGCGATTCTTAACTGATCCCTGGTTAAGTCTTGAAACTCTGGAGCATAACCTTTATACGTCACCCATTTGCCATCAGCGTCTCCTACAGTGACGAGTAATATAGAAGTATAAGAAAGATGGATTMGGTGGAATATTACCGTTTTAAGATTAGAAAAAAAGGTAAAAAAAGATGAATGCCAGAGGAAGCTATGTAGCCATAGCCTTTTCTGTATGGTCTCACGAACAATATACGTTTGTACCGAATATTGACCATAATGCAATGCGTAACCGCTATTTAAGAAAAGCCCTGTGTTAATTCAGTGAGAGGTTGTTAGATTCCTTGAAAGCAGCATCAGCAGTCACCAACTTAAAAGTCCAGCACGCATCCGCTACAGACAAAAGGTAACCTGTTTTATTGTTGACTTAAAACAATTAAAACAAGCCATAAAGACATTAGGGACTAATGGAATGTTGAGGGTGTTGTCGAGTCTTCATCACCGCTCTGAGCCAGACTTTCCAGTACGGGATATACTGAAAGTACCTTCTGCGAGGTTATTCCTGGTATTGCGACAGTTTCATTGGTGATCCATATAGTACACCTTGAAAGGCCGCATATCTATGTCTGCAATGGTGTGTGCACTGTCATGCAAGTCACATCTACAGATTGACTTTTTCATTATTATCATCATCATTGCGGAGATAAAATAGTAGTGGTATTACCATATAATACCACTGTACTTCCCATGTCCCCTTTTAATCAATCTCAGCTTTCTTTTTTCCAGGGGGGGGGGGGTGAATAGGTTTTCGGATCGGTGGATCTGGGCCTAAAATGACACGCGGATTACGGATTTATAGAAAAAATAAAGCGGATTGCCGGATTCTTAAAACGTACCGGATCACGGATTTAWTGAAAATTTAACGTCGGATTTCGGATTCTATAATGTCGATAATCGTGACTGTGAATTTGGCCGATTGTTGACTACAAAAAAATAACATAAGAAGTCACTAAGAAGGCCTTATAAACGGGCGAAACGAGACTACAAGCCCGGGGGCCGGGACTACAGGCTCTGCGCTGTGTGGAAACGTCTTCTCTGAGCTTATTATGGCAAATATGGCATCAGCGGGTCTTGAATTAGCAAGAATTTATGATTTTCTTATTATTGATTGCTATCATGATTTGGGATTCGGATTAAAGCAAAACTTTGCGCGGATCGGCGGATTTTAGAAAAAAAATGAGCGGATCGYCGGATTCGGTGAGGGAGAGTTGAAAACATTGACCCCCGGTCCACGGACCCCTCCATGGACCATGTCCACGGACCACCCATGAAAACATTGCAAATACCAAATAATAGATTTGACAATGATGATTTTGTATTTGCTCATCCAATAAAGGGTGTTAAGTTTATGATTTATTTTGTCATGTTGTCGGTCGGCCGCATTGTAACGTCAGTCTTTTGATTTTTTTGGGAACCACAATCACTCGTGCTTCGATCTTCAGCTTGCCGCATTATAGATTGAAAATTCAAACAGCTTGATTTATAGTGCGCAGATTTACATTTAAAGAGTAGGAAAATGCTATTACATGGTATAATTTATCAACTTTAGCCAATTTTCTTTCGACTGCTACCGCTGACCACTCCTTTTTCACAAGCACAGATGATTGATGGAAATCTCGCACTATAAATTTCTAATTAATGTGAAGAAGCAAGAGGAATTGTGTTGAAAAAAATCAAATGAAAATATAACGTGTAGAGGACTGACGTGACAAAGTTAAAATCATTATTAACTTAATTCGAAACCCCCGTCCCCAACTACCGGGACTAGCGGAGTATTAAATAGTGCCCATGCTTTTATCAGCAGGATTGCCCCGGGGGTCGGGATTTTGATGAATTGTTTTTGAAGCGGGGCATGTATGAAAAATTTTTAAAAGAAACTTATTACACAGTCCATAGCCTCAATGTAGTACGCAAATGATTATACAGGATTATACAAAAATTAACCCAGTGTATCACAGAAAATTTGACTGAAAGGTGCTTGTTTTGTTATTTACTACTAGACCAAAATAGCGGGACAAGTCTAGCGGGGATTTTAACAACCGAGTCTTACTGGGTGAAACGTCTTATTTCAACGCCACTCAAACATTTAAATTCGCGGTTTTAGCATGCATAACACCCTTTATTGGATGAGCTAATGCAAAATAATTCTTGTCAAATCTATTATTTGGCATTTACAATGTTCTCATGGGTGGTCCGTGAAGGTGGTCCATGGAGGGGTCCGCGGACCGGGGGTCAGTGTTTTCAACTCTCCCGATTCGGTGACCCCTATTCACCCCCGCCCCCCTTCTAGGACTTAGAATKCATTGATAATGATTTAATAATTGTTCGATTAGGTCACAATACCTTTAGTGTGTACACCGCTGTAATATTTTATTCCATCATCTGCTTTGCTCACAGCAGTAATCTTACCCTACACAGGCACAAATATAAGTTTAAAACATGATATAATCTCAATATGTGCAGAATGTATGGTAAATTTAATGTGTATCTACGTCCAGTTCAATCAAAAAGCTAATTGATATTGGAAACATTTGTTTTAGATTATTAGGTCTTTGAAGCCAGTCTGGCACATAAAAGTTGACATAAAAATGCTATGTGTACTCATATTATAACCCTGATAGCCATTCATCAACAAGTGAGCATGTGTTGGTACTGCACTACTCTGGCACTTTTTTATGTATTTTTCATTACCTGGTGCCATCTTTGTCCTCCTAGTCGAACACCCTCCTGCCCCTTGTACTGGCCCTGAGGAAACAACACAATTGAACCAACTGCAACTTCATCATCATCGGGAACTCTATCCAAAGCAAGGTTTTGATAGTTAACGATGCGTCCTGATGGATCTTGATCATCCCAGTTAATCTCGAATGTCAATGTCTCAGGATCAAACATCACTATAGTAGCTGTAAAATACTGCCAAATACTGACAGACCACATTGCAAGAACCTGAAAATAATGATAGAAACTGAGCACGTAAAGTCAAGACATCCCTGAGTGAACCCTCATCAATAATAACAATTATCTAATAGATATGACCCTGAAACTGCAGTGCCGGCTTTAAAACTTTCTTTCATTCAGGGGTTCAGAGCATCTTAATTAAAGAGTTATTTGCCGATGAAGAATGATAAGACCTAATTGTAACTTACTGCATCTCCAACCTTTGGTAGATTTTTTGAATGAGGCACATTTGATGCAGGCACTTCAGCACTTCTATTAGCAATGATTTCATAATTGTTACCATGCTAAAATAAAGAAATCAATATCATGATAAATTTATAATAATAGTGCACACTATTGTCTAAGACAAGTGTAGACAAGTAGAAGTCATTTGAGACAAATGTGCTAGATTTTAAACATACACTGGCACAAAATAACTTACAGTGGCTTTCTCAAAACATCATTCAGGTTTCAAGGTTGGAATGTTTGTTCACTTGAGTTGCCAAGTTTACACCAAACTTCATTAATAGTGTTATATTCAACATTTGAATCTATCTCTTGAAATACCACCCCCAATACCGTCCACAACTTAATTTTCTTAAATGCAGTACAATCATTATTATTTTTGAAAGTCAAGAAATTTTAAAATTTAGTTTATATTAAAAAATGTTTAGGGTCGAGTCTATATTTAGAAGTTCAATACAGGAAGAAAAATAGAAAACTCAAATGAACATTTAAAATTTAAGAAGAACTTGACAAATTATTCAATAACTCTAAATCTAGTGGTCAATGTTTTATGAAATCCACTGTAATATCTTATGTCAAGAAATTTTAAAATTTAGTTTATATTAAAAAATGTTGAGGGTCGAGTCTATATTTAGAAGTTCAATACAGGAAGAAAAATAGAAAACTCAAATGAACATTTAAAATTTAAGAAGAACTTGACAAATTATTCAATAACTCTAAATCTAGTGGTCAATGTTTTATGAAATCCACTGTAATATCTTATGTCAAGAAATTTTAAAATTTAGTTTATATTAAAAAATGTTGAGGGTCGAGTCTATATTTAGAAGTTCAATACAGGAAGAAAAATAGAAAACTCAAWTGAACATTTAAAATTTAAGAAGAACTTGACAAATTATTCAATAACTCTAAATCTAGTGGTCAATGTTTTATGAAATCCACTGTAATATCTTATGTCAAGAAATTTTAAAATTTAGTTTATATTAAAAAATGTTGAGGGTCGAGTCTATATTTAGAAGTTCAATACAGGAAGAAAAATAGAAAACTCAAWTGAACATTTAAAATTTAAGAAGAACTTGACAAATTATTCAATAACTCTAAATCTAGTGGTCAATGTTTTATGAAATCCACTGTAATATCTTATGTTGATTACAAGGCCATTTCATGAATATCAAGAGGACAGTCAGACATATCAATATATCAGATAAAGAAAAGTAAATTACAAACATTCAATAATGCCTCATGTTTATAGCCTGCGATTATATTACCTCAGCATTCCCTTTTCTCAGAATCTCATTTTCTTCCTTAAGTTTTTCATTCTCTTTTTCTAACTTCTCAATCATTTCATGATAGTCAAAAGATGAAGATGAAGATGAAGATGAAGAATCAGACGCTGCATAGTTGATCTCCCCATCAACATTTTCATTATTTTCTTTTAGACTTTTGATGATCTTTTTGTGTTTGGCTTCTTTTTTCTTTAAATAATCTATCTCCTTAATGAGTTCATTTTTACTCTTGCTTGGATGGCAGCCCATAGTGCCCTAGGAAATGAAATAGGACAAGTCATAAATATGTTACSTAAGTAAGGCCTTTTCTGTTCCAATACATAAGTCAGGAAAAGTTTTTATGTTCGAAATAAATTCGCTACAAATATATTTTCGAAAAAAAATTTCAACAAAAGCTTTTAAAATTTTGTTCCTGTATGTAATTAATTACCCAGACAATGATGCGTGGAGACGTAATGTGTTGCCAACAACATTCATTCTAGAAACAAAACACTTCAACTCGATTATTTAATGCTTGTAAAATTATCCTCTAAAGGAACTCTATAAGCTTATTGCTTTGCACTTTAGGATTTACTTCGATTTATTCGTAAATATACTAGCGTAGGCTGATTATTGGTCATTATTGTTTTTTAAAAGTAGGATAAAATTTCCACAATTATACTAGAAGAATGATCAAATTTGGTCTTCTGAGCGAACACACGTTTTCAGTATATTTTAAATCTTGAACGAGTTGTTGGGAAATGCAGATTGGTGAATATCTTCATCGAGAGAGTACTCTAGTTCATTCAAAATGTTAATGTCAAAATATTGAAGTCGTACTGTGATTTAAAAATTTAAGTTTTGTTGTGGAGATCGAATATGAGTGTGAAGTTCTAAGGGAACACTTTTAACCATACTTAAGTCACTATGAACATATGTTTTTACYTGCTGACGCGACTGATTGTTTTTTATAGGATTCCGACGKAAGACAATCARATTTTCAATAAATTCATGTATTATATAGGTTCGATCAAAAATAAACCGGGCCCGACGTTTAAGTACAGACAATATGYACTCGGGAAAACATTTTCCTGGCAAAAATACACATATACAGTTTAACCAAAAAATCTTGTAAATACTTTTATAAGTTATTTTACCTTTCCAGCTAGTCCATCGGTAGAGTATTCGCGATATTATTGTTTACTGCCTGAATGAACGTCAAGTGCATTGAATGCAAAAGACGTAATAAGGTCACGTGTCCTGTATGTAGAAATCACGTCATTAAACTATAACATGCTATAAGAATAAAAGGTCTTTATGACTTCATTTTCCACAATGTCGCGGAAACCTTTGCACAATCTAAAATGGTGGGAACTAGCGGTAAACTAGTGTGAGCTGCGTCGGTGTTTCTAAAGAAACAGTTATGTAAAAAGATAAATTTAACACCGTAAAAAAGTATGTGGAAAATCTTACTAGTAAGTTTTTCCACATACTTTTMTACGGTGTTAAATTTATCTTTTTACATAACTGTTTCTTTGCACAATCTCCTGTTTGACCCTTTTATTGACCATAGCGTCAATGTCCAGTATATTTTTTACGCAACTAAAAAAAAGACAAAACCGGTTGCCTACTACTTCCCTAAATCATAGTTAGTACTACTAACTCTGCCTAAATGAAACAAACCACTACTTGGAGTCTAAACAACTTAAATCCATACGATATAGTATTCGTTCTGGTAAAATATTGAACTAGTAGCAGGCRCTTAACCAAGCGGGTGACTGGGTGCACSTGCAAAGTGTGCAAGACAAAGTGTATGAAATCCTTTACCCACTATGCTAAAGGAAATCAAGAATGTCATGACAACGGAATGTTATTCATTCATCATGTTGATGATATAAATGATTGTGATAGGGTGATGATGAGAAGGAGAGGCGTAGGAGGGACGAAAATAAATTCGTTCGCGGTGCATTGTTAATTTAGATCTCATGCAACACTGAATGCCAAATTTATTGATAACCATGAGAGTTATTGAAAGAGAGAATTTAGGGAATTGTGAAAGTTCTAGTTGTTAAAACATTGACATAAAAGAGTTCTATAGGTCGTTCAATACAATGTCTGTACAGTATGACAATAAATATACATAATAACACAAGTAGTGTCATGGCTCGAATTAGGAGGAATTGAATCAGGGTCTGAATGGGGTTAACTGTTAACTGAGAAACGGCTAAAATAATAACTGTTAACTGAGAATTTCGGGTTTATTTAGCTGATAACTGATATTAACAAGATAACAGTTAGCTGATATTCCTTTGTTTGCACATGTTTTGCATGTAGGTGAACCTTGTTTCCAGGGCTTCTCTGTTGTTGTTGTTGTTTTTTTTNCTTTTTAGTTAGCGCGAAGTTAGGACCAATTATCGGGATAGCATGGAAGAGCCGAAATCTCTAACCGGAATGTAAATCGATTCGTCGCCTCAGCTTCACAGAATGTCTCGGGGGAATCGTCCCAACCTTTTTTCGATTTTATGGTCATGGGTTCGAATCCCAATGCTCAAGTTGTTTTCTTTTTTTCATATTTCTTCTTTTTTTTTTGCTTTTTGTTGTTTTCTTTGAATTAGCTTCCTATGCATTAATGTTTAATTACAAAACCTGCAGAATCATTTACTAATTACTTCTATATATTTTCTATAATGTGATATTTTAAAGCGCGCTTTCATTGGCTTGTTTTCATTAAACGTATAATAAGTTTTCACAGCGCGGCGATTGCGCAACCGAGAACAATTTTTAAACAGAGTGTCCGATTTATGTTTGCTATTCGTACGGACATGGTATATATCTGACATTTTAAAGTAATTATATAAGATATCGATTTTAAAATACTATGATTTTGTTTAGGGTCAAATAATAATATGAATACGCTACAAACTTCCTGATTTTACCATGCACATTTAGCTCGGCATAGAATACATCATCGCGAAAAGCGACACTTAATGAATTCGTAAACTCCGATGTCAGACACGGACTGCAGCAATGTCACTACTATGTTCTCAATACCTNCTCGTATGCGTTCTTTTGTACATAGTCATCGAACAAAAATATCTAAAGTTGGCTATTGGTTTATAAAAGGCGTGCTAGCACTTTCATTAAATCACACTAAAGTGTCAAACGCTCGATTCAAGGCTACTCTTAGGTAAGTATTATTTTAACATTTTAACAAGTATTATTTTGTTTCTTACTGATGCTCAAAATGAGTTATTGATGGAATCCCAATTGAATTTTCTGCTAACTATAGCAATCCATGGWCAGAACGAATACGAGCATCACAGACATGCATATTAGATATTATACATATWTCCTGTTTGTTCTACTGTTGCTGGTCGCCTTGAAATCTGAGGTCAGCGYTGGAAAGCACTATGACGAGGGTAAGAAACAGATCCGTAAGTTGAGCTTCAGAAAGTGCGAACCAGGTTCCACAATTATAATTTTATAACTCGCAATCCTCGTGTACGAGCAAGATCGAAATAGCCATCTACGTCTGCTAACACAATCAGATGGTTCAGCAAGTTTTGTAGGTTTTAYGTTTTAATTATATAAGCATTCTTCCTTCTTCCAAAGCCACATTCTTCCTTTTKCTATAAATTGGTTTGAAAGAATTACCGCAGGGGGTGAACCTGAAGAAAAGAGACCTGAGAGCATCCAATAAACATATTTATGCGGGGTTTTGTTGTTGTTTGATTACATAGCTCGACTCATCATGTTTCCCTTAAGATCAACTTGAGAAAGAGATCATGGAGGTCTGCCCAGGCCATGACGGTGAGCTGAATSATGATGCGAACCTAGGAAAATGGAATTCAGTGACGATTGAAGAAAGAGCGCTCAAGAAACTTCAATATCCTAAAGATTGCAAGCGAGATAAGTTGGTTAACTTTGCCACTAAATGCGGCTTGCGAGTTGTACCTGGTGCAAAACACATCAAGGTGTATTCTGGAGACAAATATTTGACGACCATCCCTCARACTGTCAAGCAAAATCCAACATGCGAGAGWATCATCAACGTACTGAATGGCGAATGCCTGAAGTAACTGTACCTAACCAGACAATGCTTAGATATGCAATAAATTACTTAACTTTGTAATTTTTTTTATTGACTAATAACTTTTCCAGGCTTTTTTATCCGACAGCATCAACATTTGTTCGTCAACGGCACCGATTTCGTACAGTGAATTTCATTCTTTGTGTATTTTTTTTTTTTTTTTTTTTGAATTAGTGTTTTAAAAGTATTCAACCTTTTATCTCGATTTCTTCTTAATGTTTCCCTTCTAAAAGGTAAAGAATTAAAGACTTTTTTGGTATTTTCGTGTTCATACTTGTAATTATTACTGCTTTGATTGTTTAATTCTTTGTTTCTTTGTTTAGTTTGTTTCTATATATGCCTCGCATTCCGATTGGTTGACGGGAGATCTATCCGCTTATCATTCGTAATTCGTAGTACGGACCGGAAAACTCAAATTAAATTTAATTACCTTCTTTGATTAATGATAAGTCTGTATTTAAAGTGGCGCATTCTTATATCAATCGAACGACATTTTTGGTGTTATTTGCTGTCGCGCGCATGCAAATTGTCATTTCCCGCCATTTTTCAAAACTCAAGCTATTATACTGACTACCCHCAGAACAAGTCTCGGTTTTGGTTGCATGACAGAGTTTCGTGCACGTGATCGGACCACGTCACTGGAAGTCGAAAAGTATGTTTGCTCCAGKTAGGCCCAAAGGCGTCACGAAGTTCTTTGTTTTGTTTTTGTTTTGTTTCATTCATGGGATAAAGCGCCCAGGCCATCCCCTCCTCAAGATTACGCGAAGAGTGTTTTTTGTTAATAGACCCATGATATGCTGAGTTGTTATTTTTGTTGCAGTCTTTCTTGTTGAACAGTTGGCTCCATCGCCGAAACTAAAGCCCAGATCTTTCAATCGGCTTAGCGAAGTTCTAAATTTCCAAGAAGTCTGTCTTTATAGTTATCATGTCTTGTGACGTCATCTATCACGTGACTGCGCTATGAAGCATCCCGAGCAATACAATCAATACAGCTAAATATTGCGGCTTCATCTGCATTATCTGTGGTTGAAAAAACATACAATAAAACTCATAATAACCACACGGGAAACTATTAGACCGGGTTTTTTTTTTTTCTTTTTTTTTTCACGGATCGAGCTCGGCTGGCGGAATCTTGTACAAACCTCAGTACAAACCTAGGTTAATAAGTAGTTAATTAACAGTTTTGCGTATTTTGCTTTTAATAAAATTCCCAAAAAACACATTCTAATTGATACTATGTRCTCTTAAATAATAAAATACAATAGATCAATGGGCGGTTTTCTATACGTTATCTATATATGTACACCGTTATTATAACACTAAGTAAACTATTGTTGATCACTCGTAGTCCGAGGCTGTGCAGAATAGCAAATATCAAAATACCAGCAAAAAGAGAAATGTACAATATACGTTTAGCATGTGCTCTCAATCCATTGATATATTTTCCATCTCAGAAACTCATTCTAAAAATAACTACAGCATAATCCACCCGAACTAAAAGCTTTTATCATTCCTTTTAATATTATGTTATTCTTTGTGTGTGTGTGTGTTCTTTTGTTTTGTTTTTGTGTTGTTTTTTTTTTTTTGTTGTTGTTGTTTTTTTTATTTTATATTATTTTTATATATAATGCCCTTCCTGGATCCATCAGAGGTTGGTCACAAATAAGCCTTTCTCAAAGACAATTTACATATTTCTTGAACAAATTAATCATATGAGGAAGTTGCTGATTCCATGAAAGAGTGCTCAATACACATATAGTATAGAGCTAATTATATATATAAAAGAGGCAAGATTTGCTGTGACTCCGAGTTACGTGCTACGCACTCATCAGACAGTATTAAATGGTCATTAAATCATCATACTGTATGATGAGTGCGTAGCACGAAACTCGGAGTCACAGCAAATCTTGCCTCTTTGATATTATATAMTTTTTGAACAATATAGGTTTCAGTAGTTCAATAATAACATACACATTTTATGTCAATTTGACATAAAACATTAAATTCTGTGTGAGATGGAGGAATGTGGAAAAACACCAAAACGAGGATAATAGTTGTCTGAACACATTCAGCAAAAACCTTTTTTAATTATAAATAACTTCGCAAATGTTGGACGTTTGGATTAGAACACTAAAATACTTACTTTATCACATGGCAAGAATGATATTTTCTATGGMGGTTCTGCAAAGTTACCATATTAATTGGCATTGAGTCCATCGCGAAGCAGAAGGCTTCATTCAAAAATAGGTTTATCTCAATGCTGTTCACAGACAAGGCTGTGTATTCTCAAAAGTATTGATTTGAATAGAATTACTAGAAGAGATTTTCGAAAAGCTTGTGGTATGTTCAAATCGCCSAAGACGTGAGATGTCTTGACTACAGTGTCTCTGCCCTACGTGTGGTTTTCTGTAGWAGATCGAGCTGCTAAAAGCATCGTCTCAAGCTCATTAATTCTTTTGTACAACATTTCTTTTTCGACCAAGGCTCTTTCCTGGCATCGTTCTTCTGTCTCTTTTATTTTACGCCGGTATATGTCCTGCACGGCCTCGGGTGAACTAATACAATCAGGGCCTTCGTCTTCCTCAAAATCTTCTTCATCTTCAAGGCTTTGAATAGACAATTCATAAAGATTCTCGAATGCTTTAGATCTTGCGGTCAACGGTGAGTCTGGTGGTTCTTGAGATACCCCCTGACCTTCCTCTGTGTTATCAGAGAAAGTACCGCCTGCCAAAGGTAACGCTGGTTCACTTTGTGTATCCAAAGCACCGGATTGGCTTACACGTACGGGAGACTGACGAGATACTGAGGATAGATAAGATGGATAGTTATAGACCATAGATACATGTACCTTCAGCTCTCAGCTTCTATGTTCTATGGTTTTGGTTGGTTTTGTGTCGATTGTGTGCTAGTGTGTTCTAGCTAAGCACATAAATGATCAAAAAAAAGATTATCTTAATTGAAGTTTTTTTTCAGGTCGAGAGTACTCACCTCGGCTGTTTTCCTCGATCACTGTGATCATACTCTCGTCAGCTGACGACAATCGCTGGAATGACGCTAGACTGGTCGTGACGTCATCAATCAGTTTATTTGGTTTAGAGGTGAATTCACCAGTCTGCATGCCGTAGAATGATATCGGAGATTCGGGGCTTTTATATCCATAACTCAACCTTTCGTCTAAGTTAGAGAACTCTTCCCTGACAACTGTAGCGATTTCTGTCTTCATTTCCTCTGTTCGCACGTCTAATGTCCTTGTGACTTCCCGACATTCATCCGCAACTTTGTCGATCATGGTTTTAATGTCTCGCGCTTCACTTGCATCCAGTTTTTCGCAATTTCTTTCTGGAAGTTTCTCTGAAGACGAATATTGTTTTTCTAGTCTTGCCTCGAGTTGTTTAATGCGATGTTCGATTGATCGTCTTGCAGTATCYATGTCCGCTTTGCATTGTTCCTGACGGGCTTCAATACGTCCCAGTGAATAGTGCCAGGAATTCACATCCTTCAATTAAAAAAAAAGACAGTTAATAAACAATGCTAATGTACGATAATTTCAAGTAGAACAAAGGATGATATACTATTTTTTCCGGATAAAACCCAACC